TTCCACTAACTAATGCTGTCCAGAGAAGTGGGGCCTGGTTAGGGTATGCAAAGACACATTTATATACATTTTGGGAAGTTAGTAGCTCTCTTATGAACATTACATTTTGTATGCTCTATACCCCTATTTTGAGTTTCATTTACTCTCTCTGTTGTCTGTGGTTGAGCAGTCAGCTTGCTTCATCAAAAGCCTGCGTATTAGATTTTTGTTCCTTGTGGCATGAAATTACATGGTCTATAACAATTTATCATTTGCCGGTTTGCCAATGTGTCAATTAGATGAATAAAAACATCAAATATGCAAAAATAAATAAATAAATAAATAAAAATGTCACATGTAGCTACCATTAATGCTGCTCAGGTGGCTGCACATTTTTATTTTCTCTGAATATTACGAACTTATATGTAATTCTTGCAATTGTTTCCATTCTAACATAACTTCTATTTTAGCAAATATGGACTGAGATTGGGGAGCGCGAAGAAGATAAAGATCGCATGTTCTTAGAACTTGAAACAGAGTGCATGCGTGTGTACCGTCGAAAGGTTGATAGTGCCAATGCTGAGAGATCCCAGCTCCGTCAGTCATTGATGGCCAAAGAAGCAGAGCTTAAAGTTTTAGTGGCTTCAATAGGTGAAATTACCCCAAAATTTAAGGTATACTCAGCCCATACTTCTATTTTTGCCTCTTGTTCCAAGCCTTGTGCCTAGGGACCTTGATTATGTTATCGTGTGTCTTATGCGTATAAGGTTTGATTTGTCTGTAGCTACAGATATTGGTAGGTTATCTTGTAGCTTGTACAACAAGTATGAAATAATTGTTAGTGTCATGCTACACCTCGTAGAATATACCATATTCAGCAGGTTGGCCATCTTTGTTCAAATAATGATGGGGATCATATCACTGCAACATGCACAGCTGGGTCACTCGGTTGGTACATAGTCATGTCTGATGGGCACATTTGAGAAACTAGTTTAGTGTAGAACTTGGTTCAAAGGACCATTTTCTTTCCTGGCCAGAATTATAATTGTGGACCATCTACTTGGTTGAAGAATCGCTGGATATGATTCCTGTAAGTTAAGCATACCTGGATGATGCCTAGCTTTTCTTTTACACATGAGGTTGACTATGCAACATGGTTTGCTGTACGGTGAACTTTGTTTGAAATTCCATTTGGTAATGGCATTTAGAAAGAAAAAAAAAGCAAAGGTGTTGGTCTTTTGACTCCCAACTTCTACATGCATTGGCCACAGTTAATTGCTTTTGGCATGTTTAGGGTCACATTAGTTAAGTAAAAAAAGGTGAATTATTATGCTTTGTTATATCGTAAAGGTTCTCTGTCACATATTTGACATCACTGTATAAGTATATTCCATTTCTGAGTAATTTGAGATATTCGTCTACAGGTGGATGAAAAGCAATCATTGAAAGAGCAACTTGCCAAAGTGACGCCTCTACTGGAAGATCTCAGGTCAAAGAAAGAAGAAAGAATAAAACAATTCTCACTTGTCCAATCTCAAATCGAGAAGATAAAAGCACAAATTTCGGATCACAATAATCAGCATGACAATGGTCCGGTCAATCATTCCAAGGACAATCATGATTTGTCAACCAGAAGGCTTTCTGATCTTCAAGCGGAGCTTCGCAATTTACAGAAAGAGAAGGTAACTATGATCTTGACTTAAAATGGTTCTTTGCTCAACTTGCTTCAACCCATTCAGCCATCATGTGGATATGAGTTGCACCAAAATAATAATAATAAAAAATAAATCAAATGTATCTTGTCAAAATGTACATATTTTCACACAAAGTCGCATATGACTAGATATTGATGATAAAGTGAATGGTGGATATCAAAATATGTGTATGCCTTAAGCATTTACGTGCTACAACCATTTTTTTGTTTACCTATTGTTTCAACCATAAACTGTCACTTTCAACATGCTGAGAACAAGATTAGTTATATATTTCAAAGGATAGGTTATTTCATTTTTGTTATCTAAAATCCTAACTTTGCCATGCCATATTGTTGTATTAGTGAAAGCAATAATCTTTTTCATTCCCTCCTTGTTCAGTCTGATCGCCTTCAGAAGGTCTTCATATACGTCGATGAAGTGCACTGCCTATGCTCTGTGCTTGGGATGGATTTTGCAAAGACAGTTAAAGATGTGCATCCAAGTTTACATGGGGCCAACTCAGAAAATTCAACGAATATCAGTGATAGCACTCTTGAAGGTCTTACTGAGACCATCCTTAAGCTCAAAGCAGAAAAGAGGACTAGAGTTTCGAAGGTGATTCCTCTTAGGAAACTACAGAGTACAGAGGTGTCTCAATTTCATTTTATAGCTTTTCTAACTATTTGGAAATTTTGTTCAGTTGCAAGAAATCGTCGGAAAGCTCCACAAGTTATGGAATTTGATGGAGTCAACTGAACAAGAGAGGAGACATTTCACCAGAGTAGCTGCTGTTCTTGGATCTACTGAGGAAGAGATCACTTCATCTAGTGTCCTGTCGCTGGAGACAATTCAGGAGGTTCGGCTACTATCTGTGAGATACTTGTTTCTTTACAAGCTGTAATTTGGACTTATTAACATAATTATTTGAATACAGACAGAAGAGGAAGTTGAGAGACTAACTAAACAAAAGGCAAGTAGAATGAAGGAGCTTGTTCTTAAGAAAAGGTTAGAGCTAGAAGATATCTGCAGTAATGCGCATATGGAGCCTGATATGAGCACAGCACCTGAGAAGATAACCGCATTGATTGATTCTGGTATACTACTGATATTCTCTCTTGCTTACAATTGAAAATTGCTGCTGAGGAATATCTTAAATGTTCTAAAATAATTTCATATTCAGGTCTAGTGGATCCTTGTGAACTTCTTTCCAGCATTGAAACACAAATAGCAAAAGCGAGGGAGGAGTCCCTAACCAGGAAAGATATCATGGAGAAAGTAGACAGATGGCTATCAGCTTGTGATGAAGAAACTTGGCTTGAGGAATATAACCAAGTACGATTCATTTTTGTTTTAATTATTCTGAATATTCATATAGGCCTTGGTTGACAACATATATTTCACATCTCTTCTATGATTTAGTTAAGATCTTTAAGGGTTTTTTTTTTGTGTGTCCTTGTGCAGGATAGTAGCAGGTATAGTGCTGGTAGGGGTGCCCATATAAATCTCAAGCGTGCAGAGAAGGCAAGGATACTTGTTCAAAAAATACCATGTGAGTTTTGTTTCCATGTCTGCTGGTATGTCAGTTGAACACTGTGTTGCATTCTGCTAAAATATTGGTTGAACTGGGCTAATGGTTCTGATATAGGTATAACCTTATTAGACAATGATGTACTCCTAACAGTAATCACTAAGCATTTCCTGATTCACAAGCTCGGTCTACTTGCTGCTTCTGATATAGATCCATCTATAGTCACTCGCATATTTGATACATAAAATGATTAGAAGCTATACTTTCTGTGCAGCAATGATTGACAACTTGATAGCTAAAACATTTGCGTGGGAGGATGAAAGAAGTGTGCCATTTTTATATGATGGAGTAAGTCGTAGAGCTGGTCTACCATATTTATCATCATTACAGTACACTATGTTCCATTGAATTACATAAATTGAATTTGCATGTGAAGGCCCGTCTTGTTGCCATTTTGGAGGAGCAAAAACTCAGAAGGGTACAAAAGGAAGAAGACAAGAGACGACACCGGGTATGAATTGTACCGCATCATGTGTTCCTTTTGGCATTACGACCACAAGAGTTGACTCCTCACTATTTGGATGTGTTGATAATTCTTACTACAGGACCAGAAGAAACTGCAAAGCTTATTGCTTAAGGAGAAAGAGTTGATTTTCGGCTCCAAACCTAGTCCAAAAAAGACAAGCAGCTTTAATAGGAGGACGAGCAGCCATCACCCGAATGGAAATGGAGCTGGGTTCATGACCCCGGTGCCCCGTAGAGTTTCTGCAGGCAGTGCCACTCCTGAGCTTCTAACTCCACGCTCATATTCTGGACGGTACAATAATTACTTCAAAGAGAACAGGAGGCTGGCTGCTGCACCACTGAACTTCTCAACGGTTTCGAAGGAGGATAGTATGTCATCCTTTGCCTCCATCAGCGGCTCAGAACCTGATTCTCCTTTGGTTTTGCACTGAGATCCCATCGTTCGATTGGACATTTTCGAGAATGTCACAGTTGATCTTTTGAGGTTCTGATAATCCTGATTTCCAAATGCTGCATTTCTGGTTAGGGATGAGAGACTTCTCAGCAAGAAGGATGGTAGTGAAGACTATCCACGACATTGGGCCATTGTGTGTTAACTGGTTGACATTGCTAATGAGTGACGACAGGTTGTGACAGGATTTAGATAAGATTTGCCTGTAGATATATGACCTAACATCTGCGGTGCTGTTGTACCTAAATTACGTCGATTGATCAGTGGGTTGGTTAGGAAGCATGCCTAAGTTGTGCATTATATTCGTTTTCTTGGTATTCTTTGAGTTTTGTATTTAGTCATTGTTTTGCATGTGAAAAGGAGTTGGTGTTGATTTGCAATCCAAAGGTGCTGTGTAATTTCATCCTGCAGACTCAACCTGAGGCCTTTGATTTGTGTGCTGTACTGCTATGGAAATCGTAGTTCATACTTCATTCAGGAAGGTAACTCAAAGGTCGCATATGTTTTACTACCATTTAGTTCATACTTCATACTTATCTACTCCCTTCGTTTCACAATGTAAGACTTTCTAATATTGCCCACATACATTTAGATGTTAATGAATCTAGACATATGTGTGTTTAGATTTATTATCTATATGTATGTGGATAATGTTAGAAAGTCTTACATTGTGAAACGGATGGAGTACTTGATTATCGGTAAGAAATAAAACTATATGTTACAAACCTAACAAGTGGGCTAAGCAATGCAGTAGAAGCAAGTGGACTTGTTACCAATTGCTGCTGCAATTGTGGGATCAAAACTGTTGGTCAAGGACTGAAGATTTGGGCGAATATTGAATTATATTGATATAAGCTCCTCCTAATGGAGTAACCAAGTCGCTTACAACGGGTAATTAAAATACAGGAAAGAAGAAAACAAGGAGGGAGCATACTAGTACATAATAAAGAGAAAGAAACAGAATTAAACATGGGAGGAGCCCGAAGAAATAGCAATTGAGAAGACAGCCTTCCACCCATCTAGGGCCGGTCCATCTGCTTCTTTGATGTAAAATTCACGCACCTGATGGTGGTTGATTATTGAAGATAACGTTGTTTTTGTGATTCCAAATCCTCCAAAAAGCAGAGGAGATAGAAGCTCTGATAATCTTTCATTGCGATAGAAGCTCTGATAGTCTTCAACTGAGGAAATATTTGGCCAGCACCCCTATTTTGGACCAGAAAGAAGCAAATTACCTTTTGCTGACGGAGGGAGTACATTTTACAACACCCTTGCTGCATTTTGGTCTTCCAAAGATATAGGGAGGCCTGACATGTGTAAAGAACAAGCCTGTGTAGTAGCTAAAACGCCAGTGAACAGCAGAACAGTAAACAACTTGAGAATTACCCCTTTCTTAGCATGAAACGGCAACTCCAAGATAAAGTTGACACGCAGTAGCAAAGTTCAATTGTATTACTGTACAGTTTGGCAACACGATTTCATCTTTTGACGCAAGTACCTTCTTGTGGTTCTGGCTTTTGGTACCACTTCTCTAGGAGTACTAGAAGTACAGAAAAAAAAAGAAAAAAAAAACTGGCAACCATGATTGAATCCAGTCCCTGAATGACAAGTTAATTTCTGTCTAGAAATACAGAACTGATAGATGGTCTACAAATACAAAACTCTACTAACCAACCCTTTCTGCCGACATGCAGTTTGCAATGAACTGCAAAATAACCTGAAAAAGATATGCCCATGCGAAATTAATTAGCGTGTGCATTATGCACAAAAGTAGACCATTAACAAAAGAAAATAGAAGACATAGGCTAGTTGCTCGTCGCAATAGTTCTGCAGAACAGTGGTACTAATATTTCGATCTCTGTTAAGGTTCGTAATTTGTGTTTAGTGGTGCACATCTTCATATTTATACTAGGAAATGGCTGTCCGAAACACAAACACAGTTCTTTCAAAGCCATCTACTTTCAGACAACAATAACAAACAGTTTATAAACTAGAACTCCAGCTGGGAATTTCAGCCATGCTACTGATTTTTTTAGTACTCAATTACTGGCTTGCCTCTTATCAACGCAGGAAGATGTAATAACTAATAAGAGAATGCTTGATCGGTGATCACAACGTAAAAATCGAAACGCCGCATAAAATTGTTTCCTTGACAGTACTTCATGCTTGGGTATGTTTTGGGCAACAAAGAAGACAAATTTCTTGCAACAAAAAAGACTACATAAACCCATAATAAGCTATTACAAAAACTAAAGGCAGGCAAAACATACCCAAGAAAAGGGGAGCAACAGCACACCAGCGAAGGCTAAACCTTTCAATGTCTACTGATCTATTGGCTCCACCAAAAAAAAAAAAAGACAGTTAAAACAAAATTTAGTTTTGACTCATTGATTCTTTGGTCTGACACAAACAAGAACTGAAACAAAAATCACACCTAAGAACTTAGTTTGCATCTGATATCTGTATCCAAAAACGTAGGAAAAGATCATGAACAGATGAATCAAAATACGAGCAGAAGCTGGTAGTTTCAAAGGTGAAAATGATATTGCCAAACTGATATGTAAACATTAAATCAGAATCACCAGCACATAAACAAACAGTATAATATGATAAACACAGAGTATCTAGAACTTAACCCAAAAAAACATTCATGTTCAATTATGGACTGAATGGATTCTCCCATCATATAAAGCATTACAGCTGAAGTCCTATATTAACAACTGCAATTCTAACGTGTCCTGGCCATTCTCAAAACAGCGATGTCGCTATTTTCAGGATTAAAATTCAGATAGCACACGATGATGAGTAAAGAAATGTAAGATGTACAGGCAATTCAAAAACCAACAAGATAAGGTTCAATGCAGCTTCATTTGTATAAACACCCCCTAAGGCCTTGTTCGGTTACACAAGGATTCGTTCTGGGCCGGGAATGATAGGTATAACAAGAAATTTATAATAGGTACAACAAGAGACCGGGATTTATTCCGGGTCGGGAACCAATTTACTCATATTAGGCACAACAAAACATCCGGATTAGTTCCACACCTCTTGACTAGTGGATTGATTCCCGGTTTCTTATTGTCCCTATCATGAGTAAATTGGTTCACAGCCCGGAATAAATCCCGGTCTCTCGTTGTATCTATCATAAATTTCTTACTATACTTGTCATTCCCGGCCCGAATTGAATCCTTGTATAACCGAACAAGGCCTACACAAGGATTCAATTTGGGCCTCTAGGATACACCGGTACATGCATACCCAAAGTATACCATGTTCACCACTAGTCCACTACATTGTCTTATAAAATCTCCAACATTGTCCCCGTCTGTGAGAATGTGAGATCATGATCTAAAACTAATTTTAGTCCTACTGCACTAAGACTAGCATTAGTTACAAGCATTGTACTGTAGCATCGTAACACTAACTACTAATTACATTAGCAATTGACGATTTGGTACCAAAGGGGAACAAAAAGAGAAAAAAAAAACAGGATTACAGGAAGAATCGATGCAAACCGGGAAGGCTGTTCTGTACCTTCGCTCTCAAAAGTCGAATGTCTTGAGATACGAGGGATCCTTCTTGGCCCGCTCCTGGAACTTGCGGAACCACCGGTCGAGGATGTCCGTGGGCACCACCAGCTTGCCGCCGTCGGCGCCGCAGAACGACTGCATGAAGTTGAACAGGTTCTCGCCGACGCGGAGCGCGACACGCTCGGCGCGCTGCCCGTCGGGGGGCGGAGGGAGCGCCGCCGCGTCCTCCACGGCGACGCCGAGCTTGGCGGGGCCGAGGGGGGGCTCCGGTTCGTCGCCGGCCTCCGGGAGCGGGAGGCTCGCGGAGGGGCGGCCCGGGCCGAGCGCGCCGAGGAACGCGAAGGGGCGGTTGGCGGCGGGCTGGAAGTAGACGGCGACGGCCTTCCCCGGCGGGAGCGCGGCGGCGGCGGCCGGGAGCAGGAAGACGACGGCGGAGCGCGGGGCGGCGGCGAGGGAGAGCGTGGAGAGGTCGAGCGCCCAGGAGTTGGGCGCCACCTGCGCGAAGGCGGTGACGTCGAGCGGGAAGCTGTGGTCCGGGAAGACGACGCCGAACATGGCGGCGGCGGCGAGCTGGCGGGGGCTATGGCTGCTGCTGCTTGGATCGCGGGGCGCGGCCTTATACGTGGGGAGAATGGAGGGTTCTAGAAGCTGCGGGTACATTCCCGAACTGCCGTAACATCGGCGTACTCCACCTACTGAATATACGCCCTTTGTTTATCTTTTGAGACAAACTTAAATGAATAAATGCTTATTCAAATTAATCTTTAGAAGTTAATTTGTTTTGGAATGGAGACTAGGACATTTATCGATAAAAAATTATCAGATATAAATACAGTATAATTATAATATAATAATATTGTCAATTATATTGTACTATAATACAATTTCTATTCAGCTTTCAAAACTCCTATGGTAACACGCTGTTTTCATGAAGAGGAGGTTGCGAGACCGAATCTCCTCTCCCACGCGCGCTACGAATTTTTTTCTTTCTAACTTACACATATCTTACATACAAGTTTAAAATTATATAAAAGTTACATTCAATTTACATTGCAGTTACATAAAAGATAGAATATAGTTGCATAAAAGTTACAATATAATTACAATTATATTGTATTTACATTTAATAAATTTATAAGAGAAAATTTGTCGATAAATATATAGCAATTTCATTATCTAATACTATAAATCTGGATAATCACCTTTACGTGAGTAGATAACTGATAGTTTGTTCAGATTTATACTACTAAGTGATGTCTTCTTCGGTCTAAGTTGCTATTTTTTGAGAAAAGGGGAGTATTACGAATTATGACTTGTGTGCAAGGATTACCACAAAGTTGTTCAAATACTCCAGTATTTACTGTGCCTATTTAATTTGTTGCCCAAATCAACGTTATCAGCGAACAAAAAATATTTCAACCATCAATACATCCTAAATTTTGGAATCTTGTAGAAACTTTCACTCTTTAAAAACCACACCAAAATTTGGTAAAGCTTCAAACATAACATGCATGCATCCACGAGAAGACTGTGGGGATGGTAATTAATGGTTATTGATTTGGATCTTTCAAGGATAGCAACACCTGTGTGCTAGCAGCTCTTGCACTGATCCCCCCAGCAATGGTATCGTTGGGGTGCAGGTGGCTGGCAGTTTGCATGTTGCACAACTTCTATTTCGACATATCCACTACCAATGACTCACACTGAAGTGTGTTTAGTTCACACTGAAGTTTGGAAGTCTGGTTAAAATCGGTACGATGATAGAAAAGTTGTGTGTGTATGAAAAGTTTGATGTGATGGAAAGTTAAAAGTTTGGAAAAAAAAACTTTGGAACTAAACATGGGGTGCATGTATTGCTGGAAGGAGGAAGCTAGCCGGTGACTGGTGAAGTGGTGAGGGGTATAACCTTGCTATTCCAATTGACTTGAAGACTTTCTGGGCCAAGCATGGGGCGAACGAATTTGTAACAATCGTGTAAAATACATGTTATGTTTGTTTCATTGTAGGTCTCAATATTGCAGTTTGGTCTGAGTTATTGTCTCCATTTACTCATTGCTAATCTGCAAAAGTCTCTAGAAGTAGCATGTAGTGATGTTCAGTTTCTTGGACTTTCAAATGTACATGCTGTCTTGAGCATTGCTAATTTGCATGCCAGTCTCTTGACTTTCAAATGCCAAGTCCTGTCTTGAGTATATCTATCACTTAGTTGTAATGTAATGGCAACAGTCTCTCAAATTTAGATGGCATGAAATTAATTGTTGTTTAATGTCTCTATCAGTCTATCTATAGCTCACAGTTTCTGACTTCTGAAAGTTCATTCCTTCATGCCATAATTTTGATCTTTTCTCTGGTTTATGAAGTGTTTGTATTAAATACTCAATGTTATCAACTTTATGTTTCCTCTGAATTTAACGAAGTAAAGTAATTGATAGGAGTAATTCACAAGGAAAAAAATGTTATTTATTCTCTATTTGCCCTACCCTGAAAAGATTATAGCCCTTTTTCGTTGCACTAAAAAAATAAACAGTAAACTGCTGGTTCACACAATGTACATATTGTCTTGAACATGCCATGTTATATTCTTCATAAAGAACGTAAACGGTCATTTTCTCTAGTTCAGTTTCCACCGTGAAGATGCTATCCTTAGACATATGACCATTTCTTCATAGCATTATATAATTGAGGGAAAATATGTATTGTAAATCACATATATGTTACAAAAAAAAACTATAGTAGGATAAAAATATGGGCATCTAATGCTTATCCATGTCATGGTAAAACTTTTACTATGGTTAAATCTGAAAATAATTTTTTCACTCAGGGTAACGTGGACAATTTCAGACGTCCATTTTTTTTATTGTACGATAGTTTTCGGGTTTACATTATATATATGGTTTACACTTATATATTTTCCCATATAACCGTATGGTATGAACAACCTATGCTATACACTGTCCCCAGGGGTAGAAGCAAATGATCAATAAAAAAACATGTTGTCTTTTTAACAGTGCCACCAGTTCTACTTGAAGAAAAGAATCGAACTTCCATGTCACACCCGAAAGCCCAATATGGACCGAGCCAGCGACAAGGCCTATCTTGTTGACAAGGCCAGGCTCAATCCAGATATAGGCCACTTTCCACTTGTTTGCATGGACCGAGCCAGCCAGCGACATCCGCCGAACAGCCGGGCCCTGACGCGGGCCGAGACGAAATCCGCCCGTGTCTGCTGCTATGCTGCCTGCCGGCTGGGCTGGTCGTTCCTTCGCGCAGCCGTGCCAACTTGTCGTTGTGGGCGGCGGACGCCTGGGGATCCCACCGCGGAAGAGCGGAAGCCGCGCGCGGCGCAGTATCCCGTGCGTGCCGCCTCGTCGCGCGGCGATTTTCTTGCGCGCTGGCGCACCGAGCGCAAGCTCGATCGGCGGGCGCACCGTTCGAACGTGATACTACAAGGGGGGGCAGCTGGTACGGTGAAATCACCGGCCGACTTGTCGCCGCGCGTGGGTCATGGGAATGAATCGGATGGCTCGATCGACTAGCCCCGCCTTGGGGGGAGTTGGTGGGAGGTCAGGTCACGCTTTCAGTTTCAGCCATGGCATCAAAACCTCTTCTGGTCGCTCACCGACCGCGCGCGCGCGAGGAAGCAGGCCGGGAAACAGGACGTGCGATAAAGCGGGAGGGAATAGAGGCCGCACGTAAGTAAAAAGGGTGTGTTTAATTTACACTAAAACTAAAACTGAAAGTTCGGTTGAAATTGAAACGATGCGATGAAAAATTTAAAAGTTTATATGTGTAAGAAAGTTTTGATGTGATAAAAAAATTAGAAGTTTGAAGAAAAATTTTGAAACTAATCTCGGCCAAAGTATCCTTGTTAGTATCAAATTATGAGTAGCAAACTGTTTTTTTTCTCTCCCTACGATGGGTCGATGGCCCTTTGTTCTTCTAATGGCATTTTAGGGTAGGTTTTATTACTTTAAGTCGCGTGATATGGTATTTTTTTAATTTGAAAATAAATAATACAACATAAATATTTTTGAGGCGTTGATTCTAGGGCATAAAATCCGTAAATATTTAGTCAATCAAGTGCTTAGGACGAAAGTACAAGTAATTCAAAATTTAAATTTTAACCATTGAGGTGAGTAAAGTGAGATCTTTTTTTTCTTTTGGGGCGGACCTAGCTAGGGTGTTCAGAGTGGTCATCGGTACCCAAAACAATTAGGGAACGAAGAGTAAGTAATTATGTAATTAGTATTAAATATAAGTTTAGCATAACAAAGCATCAAGGTTCCAATAGGGACATCAAAAGCAAGGTTTCGGTATAGATGATTTTAGTTTTGTAGCTAAGTTTCTTGCTTTTGTTCTTTAGCCAAATTATTTCTTAAGGAGTGTGCACATCCACTGAATTCTTTCCTCTAACCTTAATATTATGTTTATATTTTAAAATGGAGGGGGGTAATTATTAGACTAGGTAGCCTTATTTCTCGTAAGTCGTTCTAGAATCGCTGAACTATTAAAGCAAGGCTAGTAATACAGCCGATTTGTTGGCTATAAGGTTATTTACAATTAATATAGACCCACTTGTCTCTCTTACAGAGTTTCTTGGTTCTTGTGTCTAAACCGCCTCTAAGTTTACAGTCCGTTTCTTCTCTCTCTCCTCTCTTATCTCCTCCATCTCAGCAACTTGCTCTTAGAGCCATGTTACCTCCCATCAGCAAGCACTTCTCCTCCCCACATTAATGAGATATTTTCTTCCACGCCTGAGAGCTTCTCTCCTACTTTGATTGTAACCTTATCCTCTCTAGCGTATTTCTTCCATGCTCATAGGCACATATCTTGAATTCTTGATCATGGTTGGAACTTATAGCAATAGTTAAAAGTAGCCCGAGCTCATGCAGTAGTCCTATTCTTTTCTCCAACAAAAGTTAGATGAAGATTAAGATTCTTGTGGCACGCTTTTTTAAACTACTAAACGGTGTGTTTCGTGCAAAAATTTTCTATATGAAAGTTACTCTAAAATATTATATTAATCTATTTATCAAGTTTGTAATAACTAAAACACAATCAATGATATGTTAATATCACATCATTTTGCGTAAAAAACTTAATCTTAATCTTCATCTTCATTTTCAGGAGAAAAGAACACGATATATTGTAAAATCAAAGGTGTTTTTGATTATTATTCTGTGATGAACAATTGGACATTGGAGATTATTGGTTTTGTTATTTGGAATTTATTCACGAAGTGGTTTTGGAGACGATTGGATTCACAGGTGATCGCAGGATTATATTATTTTATGTGATTGGTTAGATCGGGCTCTGATAGCCGGTCAGACCGGCGGTATGCGCGCGGTTAGACCTGCCAGCCCGCGGTCTGACCGGCCGACGCTGTGTCGGTTTCAGTTTCGGGTTGTTTGTTTGGATATCCGTGATTATTTCATAATTATGACTTCTAGATGGATACTATACGTATGTAATACTGTTGTTTGCTACTAATGAGTCAAGTTGGAGATAGCTTGGTCTCGGAATATGGTTTCATTGTTTATTTCATGTGTAGGTGACTTGATGCCTCGGGAGAGTATTTGCGGTGATGGATCGGGAGTCGGCTTGGGGATAAGACGACGTCCGTGGTGGTTAGAGATCATGCGGGATACTTAGGCTAGAGTTGATGCACGTGGTTGA